AGTTCATTTTGATAACCAAACATGCTAATGCAGCTGCAATAAGGAAGGCGTAAAGCTTTTTAGTTTAAGTTTTTTTTTTGTTGTTGTTTGTTTTTTGTTGTTGTTGTTGTTGTTGTTGTTGTTAGCAAAAGCAGGCCAGGTATGAGATGTAATGGGATGACTCCAGCTAGTCCATTCACATGGTGTACTATCGAAGCAGCCCTTGAGAGTGTGATCAAAATATTTGGGGGGAGGGGGCTGGAGAGATGGCTCAGAGGTTAAGAGCACTGACTGCTCTTCCAGAGGTTCTGAGTTCAATTCCCAGCAACCACATGGTGGTTCATAACCATCAATAATGAGATCTGGTGTCCTCTTCTGGCCTGCAGGCATACACACAGGCAGAACATTGTATACATAATAAATAAATAAATCTTTAAAAAAATAAATCTTTAAAAAAATATTTTTGGGGGCTGGAGAGATGGCTCAGAGGTTAAAAGCACTGACTGCTCTTCCAGAGGTTCTGAGTTCAATTCCCAGCAACCACATGGTGGTTCATAACCATCAATAATGAGATCTGGTGTCCTCTTCTGGCCTGCAGGCCGAACATTGTATACATAAATAAATCTTTAAAAAATATTTTTTGGGGTGGAGAGATGGCTCAGCAGTTAAGAGCACTGGCTGCTCTTCCAGAGGTCCTGAGTTCAATTCCCAGTACCCACATGGTGGCTCACAACCATCTGTAATGAGATCTGGTGCCCTCTTCTGACATAACGTTATCATGTAGATAGAGCACTCATATATATAAAATAAATAAATCTGTTAAAAAAATATTTTTGGAATATGCACAATGCACAGGCAACACCAGGCATAGCGCTGCACTCCTTTGGGTGGCAGAGGCAAATTTTCTCAGTTTGAGGCTAAGCTGGTCGACAGAGCGCATTCCAGGACAGCCAGGGATACATAGAGAAATCCTGTTTCAGAAAACAAAACAAAAAAAGTATAGACAACAGTTTTATGAAGCTTGTTAAGGAAATAATATTTTAGTAAAAAAAAAATACAAACCCCAAGGCTATCTTTTTGAAAGCATGGACTTCCATTTTATGCATGCTTAATATATAGTTTTGGGTTTTTTCCTCCCGTTCTTGGGGATGGACCCAGGGCCTTATCCAGGCTAGGTAATCACTCTGCCACTGAGTTACACACCTGGTCCCACATTGGTTCTTAAGATTACTTTTTAATTAGTGTGTGTGTGTGTGTGTGTGTGTGTGTGTGTGTGTGTGTGTGTGTAAGGAGTATGTGCATGTGAGTCCTGGTGTTCATGGATGCCAGAAGAGGTATCAGAACCCCTGGGGTTTCTGATGTAGAAATACTGGCATCTCCACGTGGGCATGGTAGACAATACTCTGAAAAGGATACAAGTGCTGACCAGCCTGTAACAGGCTGTCTATAATGATTTCAGGGAAAAACAGTCCAGCAGAGGCACGCACTCAGAGTCTGAGGAGGAACATTAGATGAGGTGCTCAGGGATCAACCTCAAAGAACCTTTGCTACTCTGAAGTTAAAAACCACGCTTTTGCCAAACATGCTGTCAAATGCCTCTGGTCCCTGTGGGCACCACATTTTTATTTTTATTATTTTTACCTTTTTGGTTTTTTGAGACAGGGTTTCCCTGTGTAGTTTTGGTGCCTGTCCTGGATCTGTAGACCAGGCTGGCCTCGAACTCACAGAGATCTGCCTGGCTCTGCCTCCCAAGTGCTGGGATTAAAGATGTGCGCCACCACCACCACCACCGCCGCCACCACCCAGCACACATTTTTATTTTTAAGACAAGCTCTCACTAAATTGTTTGGATTGGCCTTGAACTCAATATGTAGCCCAGGGTGGTCTCAAACTCAGGACCCTCTGTCAGAACACAGTCCAAGAATGGAGTTGTGTGGGAATTCTGAGTGCTCATGAGAAAACACGAGTCCCATGACTTCAGTTTCTTCAAAACACAGAATTGTTCTTGAAAAGTGTATTTATGTTTCTCCCAGGTGTAGCAGACAGAAGAAAGTATACTTCAGCTGTTGTTATTCATGTGCCTCTATGGGAAAACAAGGTTTCTGTTTTGTTTCGGTTTTGCCATGTATGGCTTGTCTTGTGATTGAATAGACTTGTACTCAGGTAACTCTTTAACCCTCAGAGGATAGTTTGCTGATGCTCTGAAGAAAGTTGGCTACTGCAGGAGGCTTTGGTCTGCCTTGTTTTTAGGCCCCACTCTCCCAGGTTCATGCTGCCAACTCGAGTGGTAAGCGATGCTCTTGCCTCCCAGTCCTCAGACCCTGAGTTCCAGGCATGTACTTCATGCACTACAGCACCTAGCCTGTACACATCCTTGAGCAAGTGAGACACACCCCAGTAAGTATGTCCTTCCCTCTGTACCACTCTTTTCTGTAACAATCTGTAACAATACTGACCTTTCAAATATCATGTCTCTTCCAACTAGAATTTAAACTTCATGAGGATACAGATTTCAAATATTTTGTTCACACAAAGAAGTCCCAGTATCTAAAACTACCACCTAGTATCTAGTAGGTTTTCTTTTTCTTTTCTTTCTTTGTTTTTTGAGATAGGGTTTTTCTGTGTGGCCCTGACTGTCCTGGAACTCGCTCTGTAGAACAGGCTAGCCTCGAAATTAAAGAGATCCTCCTGTCTCTGTCTCCCCAGTGATGGGATTAAAGGCATGCACTGCTACCATCCGGCATCTAGTAGATTTTAAAAAATAAGTATTTGTAAAATTAACAAAAATGTTTAGCAATTTTTTTTTAACGTTTAAGACAGGGTCTCATGTAGCCTAGCTGGCCTCAAACTTCCTATGTACATATCCAAGGATGACCTTGAACTTCTGATCCTCCTGCCTCCACTTCCAGAGCAGGAATTACAGGCTTGTACTTTCTAGTTTGTGTTGTGTTAGGAATCAAGCACACTATCGGAGAGGGCATGGCTCTGTTGGAGAACATTATTTTAAGGGGTGTTACTTTTGTTTATGTTGCCTCTGTTGAACTCTGTGAAGCTGTGTTACTGTGCCTGTCTAGAACACCTGATGGTCTAATAAAGAACTGGCCAATAGCAAGGCAGGAGAAAGGAGAGGTGGGGCTGGCCGGCAGAGAGAATATATAGAAGAAGAAAACTGAGAAAAGATCTAGCAGCCAGAGAAGGAGGAGGACTCCAGGGGCCAGCCACCCAGCTACACAGCAAGCAACTAAGATTTACAGAAGTAAGGGAACGGGAAAAGGAAGATGGGATAAGATAAGAAAAGCTGGCTAGAAACTAAGCTAAGCTAAGGCCTGGCATTCACAAGTAAGAATAAGCCTCCAATATGATTTATTTGGGAGCTGGGTGGCTGACCCCCAAAAGAGCAAAAACCTCCAACAATATGGCTCTGCACCTATGAGATCTGAGTTCAAATCTTCAATGCTCACATTAAAAGCCAGGCTATGTATGCCTTATAACCCAACACTGGAGAGCACAGACAAGAAGATCCCCAGAACTGGAGTGTGCTGTCAGGAGGATCACTGGCTAGCCAACCTAGCTTAAATGTCCTGCTCTGATTCAATAAGAAACCCTGTTTCAGGGCAGTAAAACACTGGACGTCCTGCTTTGGCTTTCATATCTACACACATGGGCACATACCACACACTCATGTGTTAACACCCCCCACACACATGCAAATTCCTTTGGGGGCATTTATTTGTATGAGTATTTTGCCAGCATGTATGATGTGCACTAGGTGAATGTCTGGTACCTATGGGGGTCAGAAGAAGAGGGCACTGGATGCCCTGGAACTGGATACAGTTGGTCTTGAGCTGAGTGCTAGGAACTGAACCTAGGTCCTCTGCAAGAACAAGTGCTCCTAACCACTGAGCCATCTCTCAGCCCCGACGACATGTTTTTAAAAAACACCTCAGGCGGGTTGAAGAGATGGTTCAGAGGTCAGGAGTACTTGCTGCTCTTCCAGAGGACCTGAGTTGAGTTCCCAGTGCCCACTTCCCCCACATCCCATGGCCCACAACTGCCTGTAACCACTGTTCTAGGGGACCTGAAGCTTTCCTGTGGCCTCTGAGTGCAGACATGGATAGACATACAAATAAACCTTTTTCTTTTAAAATACACTTCCGGGTTCAATCATTTCTAATTAGGTAGAATCACATCAGCTTTCTACTATGATAAAGTCTACAAAACTTATTTAGTGGTGTTATTTCCCCCTCCCTCCATTATTGTGGCAAGATCAAAACAGAATCTCCCATTTCTATTCTGGGCTCTGCCTGAGTCACAAGGTAGTCTTGGCAAATCACTCCGCTCTATCTCTCAGTTTACTGGAGCTGCTTGGGCACTTCATCTGCCAGCCAAGTAGAAAGAGGGCCCTTTCCTAACTCCAAAAGCCCCAAGTTACGTGGATGTGGCTTAATGACAGGTACAAATTACTGCAACTGGATCTCCCACGGACTGGTGCGGGGAGACATGTTACTTAGCTTCCGGGCTGATAGAAAGGGCAGACTTTACAATATTGCTAGCAAATCCAATGCTTGTATAACATGTATTTTCAACTAAAGATACCCTTTCTGCATTCCTACTATATATGGCTATCCCAAACCTCAAATGTGAGAAAAGGAATGTGACTGACCTGACCCTGGCAAAGTACAACTGAAATATATACAAATGGGTATAGAGTTGCTTCCAGGCAGATATTCTCCTGATTGGTGCTGCCTACGTGGTTTTAAACGCCTCCTGCTTTTGTAGCCAGCATCATCTTTTACTACTATGCAGTGTGTGCCTCGGCGCTCCGAATCCACCCCGCTCCGCGATGCCTTCTGACGCGATGACTCTGTACTCACAGATGGAAAAAGAAGAGAAGCAAAGCTCTGGGGATGCGGTCGGTCGCGCAGGTCTCAAACGGATCTGCTGCTAAGCAGAGGCTGAACCTCTCTGCCACTCTTGACTTGGCTGGGTTCCTCTCTTGGCTCAGGGTTAGTGATCTGGTATGGTCTAGGAGGCTTAGGACCCAGGGGGCGCCTTTCAGCTGAAAAACACCTCGGCTGCAGCAAGCTGGCTGGGAAGCTCCCAGTTCTAAAGAGAGGCTGTTTACCACAAGAGCACAACAAGGGCCGGTCTGACTGCAAGGCTGGGAACGAGGAGGCAGAACCCCGACCAAGGAGACCCCATTTGGACACTGGCTGTTCAGTCACCTGCAAGCCGGGAGAGGCGAGGATGCTGCTGCCTTGGGTACATGCATTTCTTCTCAGCAACATGCTTCTGGCAGGAGCCTATGGATCTGGAGGTGAGATTACATTTCTTTCTTTCTTTCTGCAGCAACTTAATGGAGCAGAACGGGTAGAGCCCCGGGTTTCCCGAACGCGGCAGGGCTGAAAGGGAAGGAAAGCTTTTGGCTGTTTTCTTGTGATCCTACGAAAGCTTTTCCTCTCCCCTTTCTCCTTCCTTGCTAGAGGCTTGCAGCTCCATCTTTGCCATTAAGAACAAAGACAAGTAGTCACTTTCTCTTTCCCTTTCCCTGACCGTGAGTGGATGGAGCTGGGGAGTTAGCTCCTCTATCCCCGGAGTCCTGCCCTTTTCAAGTCCCTTGGCTTGCTGTGGCTGGCGCACAGACCTCCTCCCCTCTCCAACTTCCTCCTGTGGCTCTCCGCTGAGAGGAGTGGGAGCCGAAGAGATGGGGCAGATTCCCTCAGCTGGGTCTGGAATCACTAAATCAAAGGCTTTTGTGGCATTCACGGGGGAGCTGGTGGTGTCTGTTAAACTAGCAGAAGGTGGCCGTATCCGTGGCAAGGGAACATCAAGTTTATGTAACATTGACTTCTCAACACTGGGATGACTTCCAGGTCTGACTGCCCAGAACCAAACTCGCCATCTCCACAGACCGACCTTAGCCAGGCTTCCTGCACCTCCATAGTGGTCCCAAGTCCAAGAGTGTTAACCTTGCACTTGTGCAGGCTTAAAAAAAAAAAAAAAGCTAAACCTCTGAGTGTTGTCTGTGGATCAGACGCCGCTAGGGGCATGCCACGACTCTCCACTGTCACTCTGAGGTCCACGGGGCTTTGCCCCCCGCCAGAGAGCCGCACTCAGGGTCCCGGGCGGTTCCTCTTCCTCGCAGGCTGCTTCTGGGACAACGGCCACCTGTACCGGGAGGACCAGCCCTCGCCCGCGCCGGGCCTCCGCTGCCTCAACTGGTTGGCCGTGCAAGGCGGCCGCGAGTCGCCCACCGAGCCCAGTGAGTGTCCGCCCCGGGGGTGGCGGGCGGGGTTGGAGGGCGCGGCCCTTGACGTCTCTCCTCTCCGCCTCAGGCCCTGGCAACCACAACTACTGCCGGAACCCGGACCGGGACCCGCGTGGGCCCTGGTGCTACATCAGCAGCGAGAGCGGCGTCCCCGAGAAGCGGCCTTGCGAGGACGTGCGCTGTCCAGGTAACCACCCTGGACCCCGGGGAGGAGACGCCAGCCCCGGGCGCTTAGCAGCCGCGGTTCCACCCGCCGTGCACGTGCGGCCGCTCGACGCCCGTCCCGCCCCGTTCCGTCCTCGCGCCGTCCGATTGGTCAGAGCTATCTCCAGGCCGCGGAGCCCAAAGCCCATTGGCCGCCGCGGCATTCGGAGTGAGCTCATCCTCCGCGAGCACTTGTAAACAACGGTGGGAGGCAGCTTGCTTCTAAAGCCCAGCGCCCCGCTGGCCTTTGCTGTGTGTACCGTCTGCTGTGAGCCGGGTTCCGTGCTCACAACCCCCGGGAAGAAGCAGTGTGAAAGAACTGAGTCACCCAGAAGTTGGGAGACCTGTCAGAGGCCGTGGGGGTGTCCAGATTTGTATCCAAAGCTTTTAGACTTCAGATAACTAAGACAGTTCTCTAGGATTAAATGAAGCGATCAAGGTCAAGCATTTAACACTGTGATTGGCATGAATCTCGAGCTCAGTGTGGACTGTCTCCTGAAAACGGGGAACCCTCGGGAGAAATCCTCTGGCAGATCCAGCTAGGTGTTGGAAGATAGAAAGGTCTTGAAGAGGCAAAGTGGGAGGCAGGAGAGGCTGTTCCATAAGATGCTTTCCTCACATTTGCCTTGCATCCCATCCCATCCCTTTCAGGTCTGATCTTGCCCCTGGGGCAGGCAGGGGAGTTGTTTTTTCCTTTCTGTTTTTGAGACTGGGGCTGACTGCAACCCTGGCTGGCCTGGGACTCAGAGATCCTCCTGCCCCTGCCTCTCGAGTTCGTCAATTCGGTGTTCACCACCACTCCTGGCCTGGGACAGGGTTTGATTTCAGTCTAGGGGATCATTTTAGGGTGGACCCCCTTCTCTAATGCCCCCAACACTCAGGTCAAGTTCAGCAATAGAATGCACTCTGGGTAGGCTCTGATGAGAGCGTTTTCTCACCTCACCTCCAGACACCACTTCCCAAGCACCAGCAGCTTCTACATCACAGCCGGAAGAGAAATCTGACGCCCCAGATGAAGAAGAGGCACAGGTGTTCCCTCCTGCTAATGTCCTGCCGGCCAGGAGCGAGGCAGCAGAGGTACAGCCAGTGATTGGGATCAGTCAGCGTGTGCGGATGAACTCCAAGGAGAAGAAGGACCTGGGAACTCTGGGTATGGTTGCCCCCTCCCCGATCCACTGCCTTTGTTGGAATTCATCAGATGATGTCGTTTGCTGATTGTCTGGAGAGTGGCTAATAGGACCCCTGTGTCCTGTCCCCCACAGGCTATGTGCTGGGCATTACTATGATGGTGATCATCATTGCCATTGGAGTTGGCATCATCCTGGGCTACACTTACAAGAGGTGAGTAGTTTCTCTTCCTGGCTCTCTTGGAATAGGGCTAAGGAAGAGACACAATATCAGGTCAATTTCTTGGTGGCTTCCAAAAGGAAGTAAGGTATTGAAGGAAGAAAAACCAGCTCAAGAGTAGAGATTTGGGCCGGGCGGTGGTGGCGCACGCCTTTAATCCCAGCACTCGGGAGGCAGAGCCAGGCGGATCTCTGTGAGTTCGAGGCCAGCCTGGGCTACCAAGTGAGCTCCAGGAAAGGCGCAAAGCTACACAGAGAAACCCTGTCTCGAAAACCCAAAAAAAAAAAAAGAGTAGAGATTTGGTTTTAGTCACTACCAGGTGATCTCAGACAGCTAGGGTAAGGATTTGGATACTGATACCCCTCCCCTGCAAGGTCTCTATCTGTAACCCAGACTGGCTGTGTACCTCATGAGCACTTGGTACCTAGGGAGTCCAGAAGTGGACTTGAATTTACTGGAGTTGGAGTTGCTACCAACTCCAGTACACAGTGAGCTACCTCGTGGGTGCTGGGAATTGAACCCCTGGTCCTCTGGAAGAACAGCCAGGGCTCTTAACTGCTGAACCATCTCTCTCCAGTCCTAAGACATGGTCTTTAATCTCAGTAGGCAGAAGGTGAATTGTCTCTGTTTGTAGGCCGATCTGGGTTACAGAGTGAGACCATGGGTCACAACAAGACATTCTGCTACTGGAAAAGGTTCCTAGCCCCTGGTCTTGCAGTCTCACAGTTGGGGCTTACATTTCCTCAGTGGGATGTTCTTTAGGGTAGGAAGAGGAAAAAAATATGTTACAAGAGAATAATCCATTTGCTATTCCTTACCCCATATGAAAGTACAAGAGGCTATTTGGGAAGCAGGGACAGACCTGCAGCGGGACCGCAGGAGGAGGCATGCTTATTTTGAAAGGGCTCCGGAGAAGCCCTGTGGGGCAGGCCTCTCATAATCCGTGGGGTGTGGCTCTAAGAGTCAAAAGCACTGTTACAGGACTGGCTGTTGGACAAAATCAGGTATTGGACTTCTAGCCCCAAGGACCCAAGAAGCCTTCCTGTAAGGGAAATGATACAGGGGGTTGCCTTGTCCAGGAGCGAGAGCCCTTAGCTGAGCCGTGTTGAAGTCCCTCTCAGCCATTATTTTATAACCCCAGGGTGTTCGTAGAGGCCCGGATTCAGCCGGATTGCAGATCGAAAGGGGAAGTGTGGTATAGTTACCACAGCAACCACGGGTGCCCCCTGCTTCTGCTGCTTCAAACACTTGGCATGCCCCAGCTTCACTTTTTTGTTTTGAGACAGGGTCTCACGTAGTTCAGGCTGGCCTTGAATTCATTATATGGCAAAAACCGATCTTGAGTTCTTCGTTGTTGTTGTTGTTGGTGGTGGTTGTTTTTTGTTTTGTTTTGTTTTTGGGAGACAGGGTCTCACTATGTAGCTCTGGCTGGCATGGATCTCTCTAGGTAGATCAGTCTGGCCTTGATTCACTGAGAAGTGCCTGCCTTTGCCTCCAGAGTGCTAGGCTTAAAGACACCAAGCCTGGCTCCTTGAATTTTTAATCCTCCTGCTTCCTCCCCATGAGGGCTGAGATTATCCTCACCGGCACTCTTATGAGACAAATGCTATCCTTCCCAGTTTTCAGATGAGGAAACTCGAGGCTAGAAACTCAAGGCTAGGTGCCTTGCCTGTGGTTACACATCCAGAATATGGTGGAACAAACTGCCATCTGTGTGACTGGGCAGGCTGCTTCTGGTTACTAGTCCAAAGCATTCCTGTGGGGCAAATGTGTGTGACAGCTTAGCGTAGTGCATGCATGGCACACAGGGTTCATAAATAGCCTCGTTGCGCTTATCTTCAAAATGTGGGTACTTGCCGAGTTATTCACCTTTTCTGGGTCTCAGTTTACTCATGAGTCGGGAGTTAGAGATGAGGACTGCAGCTCTGATGTTTCGAGAAGGACACCGTTGACTGTGTGGGTTTGAATCCCAGGGCTTCCATTTGCTTGAGCAGATGGTTTTACTGGTTTCTCTGATTGTCCACGAGTCAGAGAGCAGAGAGGTTCTCATGGGCCCAAGGGAGCATCCTGACCCCCAAGACCGAGGCTGTGGTCCACAGAAAGACTGTTGACATGCGGGTCCAGGGACACCTGCTTGTTCATTTAAAAGGTGAAAAAAAAAAAAAAAAAAGAGTAGTTGCTTTGCCTGTACAAGCCACTGACCCAACCATGCTGCCTCGAGCCCTGAAATACTCGTCTCTTCCTCAGCCTCTGGCAGCATTTGGCTGTCATCCAATATGTGACAGTTCCCAGACCTTCCAGGTGCTCAAAGTAACTGCTCTTAATTCTAAGCTCAGCTGGTGCCCAGTGTAGAAACCAGGTCTTTTTTTTTCTTTTCGTTCCTCTCTTGTAGGCTGTCATGGGACTGCCATGTGACCTTGAGATTACTTTCCTGTAAACTTGGGGAAGGCAGTCACCAGACTGTCACTAACCTCGGACCACCCCTTTCCTTAGCAAACATGCTCTGAGAACAACCTGTTCAACAGGAAACCACATGTGGGTTAGAAACAAGCTCCGAGCCACCCTCTCCCCACCATTAGGGGACAGATGTCAGGGCAGGAACTGGAAGGTGAATGCCATTTCAGGCAGCTTTTGCTTGGTGGGCATCTTGCCTGTTAAATGGGGATCTTGCTCCCCATTCATCCAGCCACCCAAAAGTATGGTATGTAAGCAGCAGCACAGTAATCAGACACCAATCTCAATAACAGCTCTTTGTGTCATGCTTTCTTGGTAAGCCAGGCCCTTTCTCTGATCTTGCCCAAGGCTCTTCCTAATGAGGAGCCGAGGCCTACGAGAGTTAAAGTACCATGTCCCAGGTGCCCAGACTAGACCATGTGTTGCTGTTGTTGTGTGTGTGTTTCTTGTTCTGTTTTGAGATAGGTTCTCACTCTGTAGCCCAGGCTGGCTAGGAACTCGCTCTCTTATTCATGTGTGTGCGTGTTTTGCCTGCATGTATGTCTGTGCATCATGTGCATACCTGGAGGGTTGTGAGCTGCCATGTGGTTGCTGGGAATCAAACCTGGGTCCCCTGAAAGAGCAGCAAATGCTCTTTACTGCTGAGCCATCTCTTCAGCCATGGCCAGGAATTCTTGGTCTTCATGCCTCAACTTCCCTGAGGGCTAGGATTACAGGTATGAAGCATGAGCCACCATGTCTGGCTGGACAGGAAGATATATCTAAAGACTGTCAGTCTTCTCCAGAAAGTCTGTCAAAGCCGGGGAGCTTCATCTAAATTTCAGTTACTCGGGGCAGCAGGAAAAAGAGAAACTTCTCAAAACATGATAGAGTTAGAAAGCAAAAGAAATAAGATCTTGTTCTGGAATTCCCTCCACTTGTGGGTCCGCACACAGCACATTATTTACCTTGTCTGGGCCTCGATGTACTCACCAGGGAGTGAGCTCTGCTGACCCTCCCAGCCCCATACTTCTTTAGAGGACAAAAGAGGACACATTGCTTGGTTTAAATCCTAGCTCTGCTCTCGGCTTAACACTTCTCTCCCTCGTCGACCCCCTTCTCGGCCTTTTCAGGTCTGAGATGATACTAGATGGCACTTAGGTCTCACGAGGATGGAATTGGTGTGCTTTGGGTATACTGTTGTAGGTCTGTACGACAGCCACCTTGGGAAAGTCGCCCAGAGCAGCAGGGTGGCACAGCACGGCTCCTGAGTAGTCATTGAAGAAACCTGCACTGCCCTGAAGAGGTCTCCATGGTTTCCATAACCTTGGGGTTAGGAGCCAGAGGCAGTAGCTCTGCTTCCTCCCATCTCTTCTCTCTGGCCAGCCCAGCTTGCATGTCTGACCCCAGAGCAGTCGGGGTAATTCCACAGGACCTGGGGTTTGGCTGATGGAGGGAGCTTCCCAGAGTCGGGAAGGGTGGGCGGTCATCAGGCGTCCTCCTGGGAGGAAGGGCTTCAGGGTGGGGGTAGAAGGGAACTAGTTTGGCTGGGTCTTTGTCCTAGTTAGTAACTTAGGCCACGAGGTACAGCCAGGCCCTGGACGGGCAGCTCCCTGACCCTGCTGAGGGCTGTCTCAGCTCTGCAGGGAGCTCTTATGCTGATAAAAAGGGAGGGAAACGGTAAGTCAACACCATTTCACCCCCTTGGGAGAGGAGCCGAATTGGTGAATAAGCCTTTGTTCTGTCTTGGCTGCCCGACAACCGCCCGACTTTCCCCCACCCCCACGGCAGTGAGAGGGTGCTGGGCCGACTAATGGTCAGTTTAGCAGGCCTGGCAGCATCAGCCACTTCATCTCCAGGATTCCCAGGCAGGACTCACAGCAGGCACGTGGGGTCAGGCATGCTTCCAGGCCCCTAAATGGATGAAGCCAATCCAGACTAGTCACAGTGTCTGCTTCCTTTACCCTTGGTTGCTCTTCCAGCCCTGTCTCCCCATTAATAGAAATTGATTTTACCCCTCTAGGCTTGTGTGTGATGAGGCCTGACAGTTATCAGCTGCTCAGCAGGTTACAGACACACGCTTCCTTCATGAAGGAGGGAGCTGAGGCCAGCAAGGCTTCTTCATGTAGGAAATGGACAGCGCATGTGTAAAGTGTGTGGCATCCATCAAAGATGTAGTAGTGCTTCTCTTCCTGGGTGACAGGACACTCCCGGTACCTTGGTCAGGTATTCCAGAAGTCATGGGTTCCTGGTTGCCTTCTTCCTCCAGCCTTCTTGTAGACTTTGAATTTTAGCCTCTGGCAAAAGATACTTGAATGTTTCATTTTTGTGAATCACTGCTAGCTCAGGGAGGAGGATCCTTTACTAAAATTAAACCCAGACCTTCCAAATGTTTCTGTACGTGAGCAGTCTTGAAGAGCAGGGCTTTTTATTGTGCAGATAGGTGTTTCCTTCCCTAGGGCAGCCAACCACAGCTGATGGGTGACTCAGGGTATGAGGGAGGGATGGTTATTCTAGACGACCCTCTCCATGAATCGTGGATCTGTTTTTTTTTTTTTGCCTGTGGGTGCTCTGGGAGGTTTTCTGCTGTGGGAATTGATACCCAGTACAGATGCTAATGCGAGAATGGGTGCTGGGCTTAGTGACGCACGCCTTTCATCCCAGTGTTTGGGGATGGGGCAGAAGAAGGATGATCTCTGTGAGTTCAAGGCCAGCCTGGTCTACAAAGTGAGTTCCAGGACAGCTAGGGCTGTGACACAGAAAAACCCTTTCTCAAAAAAACAACGAACAAGGAAAGGTTGGGGGGGGGGGGGAAAGGGGGGGGGGGGAGGGGGGGGGAAATGGGCTAGGCCTGGGTTTCCATGTTGAGGAACTTGGTTGCCCCTTGTCCCCCAGGGACCATAGGAGGATGAACCTACTGTGACCTTACATTTGGGATCAGATCATATCTCAGGTAGGGGACTCTGACAGAATATCCAGGGCTCTGGAGATTATCATGCCCCAACTTCTTATCTCACGATGGTGAACTTAAGACCCAGAGAGGAGGGTATCAACTAAGTCAGGTGAGTTCTTGTCTTGGCTAGGTACTAGGAGAGGTCTTTGAGGGAGATGAAGGCCATGTTGCCCCGTGAGTCAGGGCAAATGATCATAACCCGGGAGTTCATGCAGCAGCCGCACTAGTGTTAACATTCTTTCACATGATCGAGGCAGATGAAGAAACCCAGGCACAGAGCTGTTTTGCCAAGCATTAAACAGGTTGACTGGAGCGAGGCTACTCAGGAGTCAAGAGAGCTGGCTAATTGAAAGAGAGCCCGAAGTTCCTGTGCATTTGACTTCCAGAACTCCATTCTCCAGCTCTTATCATTGTCCATCACGTGATGAATGCAGACCACAGCTGGTCATAGCTATGTCCCTGAGATCTGAACCAGGCTCCTGTGTTTTGTTTCAGTTGGAGGGGAGGTCTGGGCAGGGCAGGGAGCAGGTTCTCGTGGAGGGAAGAGGCCCCTGCTCTCCTTGCTGTGATGAGTGGGTTTCACAGCATACATTGGGCAGGACCACCTTGGAGATGTACTGGCCTTGTTGACTGGCTGGGATGACATCTTGCCCTTGTTGCTCTTGGGGTCCCCATCTACCTCACATTCTCCAGCACCACATTGCAGGGCCTGCTGAAGCCCTTCACCTGGCCCTGGGCCTTGTTGTTGCAACTGTCAGTGAACACCAGTGTGTT